TCTAAAATTTGATCTACTCTTGTCTAATTCATAAATACTCTAAAATAACTATATTTTTTTAAAGGGACATGACACAAATTTAAATTGATTTTTTTTAATTATGTGAATATTTTATTATAAGCATTTGTAAATAAATATGTTAAATAACAAAATTTCATGTTAAAAAAAACATTATTTTATGTGAATTCTTTAAATCTAGCAACTATTCATACTTTTGGCAACATAATTTCCATATTGAAAATTTACATTGCAAGGGTTCATGGCCTGTCTAAATTGAAAACGGCCATCAGTTAATAGTTAACTGGTGGAACAACCTCCCCATGTCATGACAAAGTCAACAGCTGAGTCAACCATCAAAGTCTTCAATGATGATAGCATATATTTGGATTTGGATATTTTGCAGTCATTTATTATTAATCTGAACTGTTAATTATATTAATTAAAAAATAAGAGGAGATGTATTTTCCACATATTTATATATTTTGAAAAGTTGGGTAAACTCTCAAGTCTCCATCATGAAACAGTGTATTTATAAAAGCTACAGAGCCACTATTAGGTATGTTACAGCTTCTTAAGTGTCTTTAAATTTGTTAACTTAAAAATTGAAATAATTTTTATAGTGTGTGTCAGACGTTAATATAGACCATACAATTATATATTTTAAAAATACATAATTAGTTAAAAAATTATGACTTCTTTAAAAATTTCAATAATTTATATATTTTAAGTTTATTCGTTTACGATGAACTTTGATTTTAAAAAATTATTTTTCTCGCTCTCACATAAATTTTTTTCTTTTATTAAATAATTTTATATATATATATATATATATATATATATATATTGCATTAGAATTTATCATGTATAATAAATAAAAATATTTAGTTTCATTTTGTTACTCTTTGATTTAAATTGTTTATGATGTTATTATTTAATTTTTAATAAAATAAATAAATTTTTATTTAAAATTCATAAATTTTTATTTTTTATTGAAACATTTTATAAAATGAATTATTCAAATTATTTTAAACCTCGTTACACTTAAAATTCGCTAACCAAAACATAGAATTTTATCTATAATTAAAAAAAATCTTGATCTTCCCTTTACTCAAATTTTAACCTCACACTTTAGAAAATCTTCTAAATTTCATTGACAATTTACTAAGTTTCTCAAACTTTCTAAAATGTGAGTTTAATGATTATAGTAAAGAAAAAAAAATATAGACTTCAAATTTACTCAAATTTAAATTGCAAGGCCTGGAATTATATATAGTCCAAATTAAAGAAATTAAACGCATAATTAAACATAAAAAGTTAATCAGAACATATTTATGAATGGAACAATATTAGTAACATTCCTTTTAAAATCGCTTTTATATATGAAATGAAATTGAAAAGAAAGAAAGAAGCCAGCAGGTTACGAAATACTACTACGAGGATAATTCTCTTTGCTTTGACTATTGGGTTTATTGAATGTGAAATTAAGCCCTACCTACTTCATTGCATACTATATAAATGACCGTTACTTCGAATTGGCTCTCGTCACTGTCATGTTGCTTTTATCATTAGTTTTTCAACACTGATATTTTTATATTCAAATTTTTATCTCCTTTTCTATTATATTAGTCATCCCATTTTTTGGTTTTTGTTTTTCTAGCACTCTCTTCTTCTTCATGTCTATTTCACACACCTTAAAGAAAGTGAGAAAATCTCATTGCTGTTAAATTTTTGATACAAAATATCACAAGTTACATGTTATATTGAAGATCGTGAGGAAGACAATATTGAAGGAACTATATTTTGGGGTGCAATGATGAAGGAATTTTATGAATATGTGTAGATGGCACCTTATCTCATGTCTGCAAATTTCTGAGTAGAGAATCTGTAGACGGAAATTAAGGCAATATTCTTTGATACGAAATGGAGGCAATGTGAAGATTAGTTTTTGGTGGTTTGGGCAGGTGAGAGATAGTTAGAATCTTTTACAATATTTGAGTTGTCTAGTTGCAATGTTGTATGGATAAATACCATATGCGTTTTTCAGTGTTTGTCGGGCATCTTAATTTCAGTGTTCGCACGCCGATAACAAGTTCCACCATGTGTGAAACCTATCATTATTGACCTATTTTTTAAATGTATTTGAAGGTAATATTATTATTTTTATTCTATTATTAAAATTAATTTTTCAGATTTTACTTATGCATGCATCCATGAGCATGTACACTAGTTATATAAAAAATTCGTAACTTTAATATTTAAAATTAAGTTAGGTAATTAATAATATTTAGTATATTCTTGTGTTCAATGATATATAATAAAAATTCATAAATAATAATTTTATTTAAAAGCTATTACATTTATATTATTATTATTATATTAAATTTTGTGATATTTTATAATTTTTCATTATATATATTTTTAAATTTACGTTATTGTTTTATATTCTTAATATAATATAAATTTTTATTAAAAAAATATAATTTTTTAATGCTTAAAATCAACTTAGGTCGAGAAAACCGTTTAAATAATACTATAATTGGGCGTGGATGTGCCACTTACCACGTCCGTCCAAAAACAAATACTCGCGAGTTGCAAACTCCAATCGCGTGGGCCCAATGTTGAGTCCCTCGCTGTAATCACGCCTCACTTTTATCACTCGTCGTTGATGGGAATTAAGGTGAACATAGTTAATTAAATTTTAATTTAATAACAAAAAAACATTTATTTTATTGGGCTATTTTTATTTATTTAAAATTTTGATTATTTGAAATTAATGAATTAGTAACGAAGAATATATTAGTCAAATTTTTAACTCTTACGAGTTAATTAATTTTTCTATATGTTATTATACTCTTAATATATTTTGAAAATTTTCATTAAGTAAAATATAACTGACTATAGATTACTGAGCTTTATATAGTGATAAAAATAACCATGCCAGCATTTATACATATTAATATTTCTGTCATTTACTTTTAATTAAAATTTTAACGTATTCATGATAATATGTTGGTCTACAAATTGAAAAAATTCACCTTTTAACTTACAAGCCTTTTCTAACTTTGCAAAATTTATATTAAATTATTTTAAATTAATTATGTATATATTTTCTTTTATAATATATTTTAAAATTATATCTAAATAAATTATTCATACTATTTATAATATAAAAACTAGTCGTAATATATTTGTTTATTATTGATTAAAGTTTAATAAAAATTATATAATTATGTTGTCCTACTTTTTATGCAATAATTTTTATTCATAATTTTATTATTTTTAATAAATTTTAACTAATAATTATTAACATGATAAAAATAATGAGCTAAAAAGAATACTTCTCTTTGTAAAACTGTGAAACACTTGCTGGTTATATTAATATTTGTTTAATTATCTCCCATCGCAATCAATCTGAAATACGATTAAGTGCATCTCAGCCACTTGTAGTTGGAGGGAGCCAAATCAATGAGGTTGACAATATAAAAGCAAGTTTTTGGTAGTGCTGAGAAAAATATTAAATGAAATATTATTAAACCTTAAAAAAATATAAGTTGTACTAACAGAGTTTGACACGAGTATAAGTAATTTGATATTATTTAAATAAAATTTTAGATTTGAGTTTTTATATGTGTATAAAATTTTTTAATAATAAATTTACGTAATTTAAGTAGAATTCAGATTAAATTAAATAAAAAAAATTGAGTTATGAATATTTATTTTGTTGTTATAAATACTATGTTTAAATTATTATTATTATGATTTTTACATGCATGCTTTAAGATACTTTGTTGGACCGTTATTTTCACTCCTTTGATGTCTTTTACTTGCACTGTGTTGAAGGCTGCTCCTTGTTTCGGGTGCTATTAGTGTATTACTAATGGATGATAATTTTTGTGTTAAATGTTGATTTCTTTTCTGTTTTGAAGGGTTTTACGGTTTGGCATATGAGAAAAAATTAATTCCAAAATAACATAAACCACAATCTTACTAGAAGATACAATTATATAAATTAAATTGATTAATAAAAAACTTTAATATAAAACCGTTTAAATCAAATATACTTTGAATATTCTCTCAAAAAAATTTCAATCAAAGTAAATCGAACTAGTGTCTTTAAATAAATTGTCAAGGATTTAAAAATAAAAAGTTAAAAAAATCATGTTAAATATCATATTTTTATTACCTAATAAATAAATACCTCTAAAACAGTAATCAATATACCTCTATAATTGAAGGATCTTTTTCCATAAATTGGAGGTAAATTTTAAAAGTAAAGTGTAAAAGTCTAATAAATAATTAAAACTTAATAATTTTATAATATAATATATGCATATTTATATTTTATTTTTATTATCTCAATTGTTAATTTAACTATTTTTAATTTAATAAAGTTTTAGAAAATGGTGATTTAATAGTTATAGTTATGCATTTTATCAGGTAAAGCATATTTTTAATTTTATCATAGTAAAGTTTAGAGTTAAAAAAAACACACAAGGATTCCTTAAAGATTGTTTGAGCGGAGACTTTGAAAAAAATGGAATTTTTGTAATTTATATTAACAATTTTTTATTATTTATGATAATAAATATATGTATTTTTTATATTATTTTATATTTTTATTTTGAAATATATCAAATAAAAGTATATTTATTTAAAATAAAAAATTACAGTTTCCTTCATTTCTTTTAAAATAACCCCTTAAAAATTTAATCCCGAAATAAATTCTACTATAAAAATTTTTCATTCCACGTAAAAAAACGATTGTAGTAGCAGTACGAAAAGAACAAAGTTAAAAAAAAAAAAAAAAAAAGTGGATAACGAGGACTTGAAATTAGCGATGGTGGAGTCAACTGTGAAACTATATTCCTTCAAAGGAAAGCATTATGCACTCGCGCCAGTGGGAATCCGGTGCGCGTGGTTCTGTTATTTCCGTTTTCATTCGTTGTCTTTCACTGTATCATTAGCCACCGCCGTTGTTCTTAGCTACTTTTTTTCTTTTCCTCGTTGTGTTATTTTTTATTCTCATCGTATTCATATTCACAACACTCTCTCATTTCATCATCACTCGTTTTATTGATGAGTTTGTCGAGTGATGTATGTATGAACATCATCAAGCTTTACCTCCGATTTAGATTCACATAAAGTTTGTTGCTTACATGTGGGTTTCATCTCGTAAATCTTAATCATTGTTGGCCTTTAATCTTTATTCCTTTTCTTCTTGTCACTTCCTTCATAATATTCATTGTCTCTCCTAGATCACTTTGTTTTCTTTTGCACTTTTTATATATTTATATCTTGAAAGTTTGTTTCATAACAGGGTGTCCAACCATGCCCACCATGGCTTCATAAAAGTTACCATTAAATCTTCATGCTTTTTTGTGGTGGTAGATGAAGGATAACACAACAAGGTGAGGTTCTTTCTTCCAATTCGGCTCCTTGTTCTTTCCACCTACTTAGTTTTCACACAATTATTTGATGAATGCTTGAACCCAGCTATGATTTTTTCTTTTTATTTTATTTTATGTTCTTAAATTTGCAGCTTTGTGACTTCTTTTAGAACTTCACTCTCCATTCTCTCTTAAAGATGAAGAAAATGCAATAAAACATATATCTTGGAGGTGTTTTCTTAGCTTTTAACTAATATATTTTTTTTTGGTGACCAGTGCAATAATTCTGGAGGCAAGAAGTATAGAAACTTTCATTAGAGAGTAAATTTTGAATTTTTTTTTATTTGGGGTGTTGATTTGGATGATTCTCTCCTTTGAGTTGCTTCAAGGAGATGAAAATTACTTGGTATGAAAGATGCTGGTGTTGATCTGGGTTTTTGCTGGAAGGAAGAAAAGAAGGTACTGAAATAGTAATTAGAGTCAAAACTGAGAGTTTGGTTATGTTGGTGAATCCAATTCCAATGGACACACCAACCGTGCAGCCACAAGGTGCTACAGCAAGCACACCAAGGAAGAAAATGACCAAACAATTAACAGGGAAGCGTGATGATACACCTCTACACTCTGCAGCCAGAGCTGGAAATGTGGCTGTTTTGAAAGACACTCTTGGTGGTGCTGAAGAGGCTGAACTGCGTGCCCTGTTGACAAAGCAGAACCATGCTGGAGAAACAGCACTTTATGTTGCTGCTGAATATGGTTATGTTGATATGGTTAAGGAGATGATTCAATATTATGATCTTGCTGATGCTGGAATTAAAGCAAGGAATGGTTTTGATGCACTCCACATTGCTGCCAAACAAGGGGATTTGGGTATGTTTTTCAATGTGGTTTTCTCTGCTTCTTCTTCTGTGGTGTGTGATTTTCAAAGGGAATCTCAGTGGTGGTTTCTTTGCCTTTTGCAGATGTTGTGAAGATCCTAATGGAGGCTCATCCTGAATTGTCAATGACTGTGGATCCATGCAACACCACAGCCTTGCACACTGCTGCAACACAAGGGCATACTGAGACAGTGAAGTTTCTATTAGAGGCAGGTAGTGGCCTTGTAACCATTGCTAGAAGCAACGGGAAAACAGCTTTGCATTCTGCTGCCAGAAATGGACATTTGGAAGTTGTGAAAGCGCTTCTGGAGAAGGAGCCTGCGGTTGCAACAAGGACTGATAAGAAGGGTCAGACAGCACTTCACATGGCGGTGAAGGGACAGAGTCTTGAGGTGGTAGAGGTGTTGATAAAAGCTGATCCCTCTTTGTTAAACATGGTTGATAATAAGGGTAACACAGCATTGCATATAGCAACCAGGAAGGGCAGAGCTCAGGTGAATTAGACTATACCTACCTTATTTCATTGTTTGTATAGAAAACATTTTCTCAAACCAAACAGCTACTGAGTTATCGAGTTGACTTTTAGTATCTGTCATGCACTTTTCTGGGACAAATGGAAATGTGAAAAGAATAAATTCGGCTAACATTTGGATTGAAATATGACACCTATTTTGTAATTGGTCCCTTTAATTGTTTGTTTCTTCATAGCACAAACTGATTAGTCAAATTTTTCATGATTTTAAATTTGAACAATGTTGCATCTCCAAGAGATATGCATATGTACCATGTCTTCTGTAAGTGTCGAATCCGTTATTCTGTCAAGCAATGTTTTGATTTATGATATTCTTAACATAGCTCAAGTATAGATCTTGGTTAGCTGAGACTTGGGTCTCATGGTAGGATCCTTTTGGAAGATCATCATGGCCATTAGTCCCATAGATTCTACATTCTCAAGCTTTCTTGTGAGAGCATGTTGTTTAGGCATCGAAATTGGGACCATCTTAAACAGGTTTGTCTATTGAAAAAAAAATGAAAGAAAAAAGGGAGGAAATTTGGAGAACATGGTCTTATTTTAGTGCCTAGATTCTTAAGTTGAATCAATTACCAGAAATAATGCTGAAATAGAAACATCCATGACTAGGAATTAGTCTTGATCCAGTTTTACATTCGCCACAAATGGTAATTCTTGAGGTAAAAGGACAGGATAGGTAATAAACATAAAGCATGATAGATCATGAAGGAAACAGCTTCAACTGAAGGGGAAACAGTAATGAGTAATGACCCTACGTGGACTGAGTCATCTCAATATATCAATTCAAATAATCTTCAATTTGCTTTATGCAATTACTATCATAAGTACAAAGGAACAATCTGGTTGGAAAAGTCAATATAATTATCTCTGACTGTGTCAAAATTAAGCATAGAGGCTTAACTCAATTTCTGTCTGTGCAGATTGTCAAGTTGCTTCTTGGACATACAGAAACAGATGCCATGGCAGTTAATAGGTCTGGTGAAACAGCATTAGACACTGCTGAGAAAACTGGGAACTCTAATGTTAGAGATATTTTGGTGGAACATGGTGTTCAAAGTGCCAAAGCCATAAAGGCTCAGCCAGCAACAGCTGCACGTGAATTGAAACAAACAGTTAGTGACATAAAGCATGAAGTACATTACCAATTGGAACACACACGCCAAACAAGAAAAAGTGTTCAAGGCATTGCCAAACGTATAAACAAAATGCATGCTGAAGGACTCAACAATGCAATAAACTCCACAACTGTGGTAGCAGTACTAATTGCCACAGTTGCCTTTGCTGCTATTTTCACAGTCCCTGGCCAATATGCTGATGATCCAAAAGACATTCCTAAAGGGATGACCCTTGGTGAAGCAAACATAGCTCCACAAGCTGCATTTCTCATTTTCTTTGTCTTTGATTCCATTGCCCTCTTCATTTCACTCGCGGTTGTCGTGGTGCAAACCTCAGTTGTGATCATAGAAAGCAAAGCAAAGAAGCAGATGATGGCTATCATTAACAAGCTAATGTGGTTGGCTTGTGTGCTTATTTCTGTGGCCTTCTTGGCTTTGTCTTTTGTTGTGGTAGGGAAGGATCAAAAGTGGCTAGCAATTGGAGTAACCATCATAGGAACCACTATAATGGCTACAACATTGGGTACCATGTGCTATTGGGTCATTAGGCACCGAATTGAGGCTTCCAATTTGAGGAGCATTCGGAAATCTTCCATGGGAAGCAGGTCAAGGTCTTTTTCAGTGTCTGTTATGTCAGATTCTGAGCTACTAAACAATGAGTTTAAGAAAATGTATGCCATTTAGAAATACTAATAAGCCTTGTTTTCCTTTTCACTTACACTGTTTTTTCCATGGCTTGATGAAGCTATATCCAACTATACCGAAACTTACCGATGTATAACACCAAACTTGTCTGATGTTAATAATATGCTCAATACTGTCCTTACCATCAAACTGAATTATGTCTTAATTTTTGAGTTATTTATTACATGTAAATAATGACTCAAGTTTTAGTAAGATATATATGAATTGGTTATCGAATTAATACTGTGCATTAAGTCTATTAAGAATAAATTATTAGTTTATTTACTAATTTCTCTGTTATTAATTAATGAATGTAAAACTAATGTGAGGAATTTATTAAGTAAATAACATGTTTGATCTCACGAAAGGTGCAGCCCCACAAAAAAGAGGAAAAAACAAATAATTTTCTCTCTATTCATTGAACCAAGCGAGACAGTTTTCTAGTATCTTTGGTATAATGAAAGTTGCCACAAAAAATAAAATAAAAAAACAAAAGGAAAAAGACTAAATGCACAGAACAGCTGTCCCAATAATTATCATTGTTGACATCTTTGTTTCTAATTTTTTCTGCTAAGCGACAAAATGTATAAAGACACATAAAAAGCATGGCACCGGTAAGCGGAATCAAGTAAAAAGTAGGGTTAGAAAGACACCCTTTAATATAAATTTATTTATTATTCAAAATTTATTAAAAATTATAAAGCACGAGTAACAAATATTAAATTAAAAATAAAATTTATGCAATTTTTATTTTTTAATAAATTTTAATTAATAATAAAAAATGTGTTTTCGAATGTGTCAAGTGAAAGCTCTCTTACTATTGCACCTAAAGTATGTTTGTCCGTATTGGAAGTTCATATCTGCTGACCCGAATGACTTGATCAAAGACCATGATTGGTACTTGGTAGGTTGAATGAATCAGTGATGAATTTCTGTTTTTATCTTGTTCTGTAATTTCCCTTTCTATCTGATGCATGTCACACAAATACAATGGTTTTCTTTTTGTTTTACCGTTCCTTTTGTCAGCACAGACATTGAAAAAGGTTTTATTCCTATTTTAGCTAAAGCTAACTTTTTTTTAAAAGGTAACACGCAAACTAGCTTATTTATTAGTGTAATTACTGTTTTTTTTAAAAGAACCTTTTAGAATTTATTAATACTAAACTGTAAAAATTACAATTTATTCACCATTAAATATTTGGGAATTTTAGGTAAGTAACTAATAAATATTCGGCTGCTTCTAGAAATTAAAAGGAAAAGGCAAATTTCATGGTCTCATTTCAATTTATGAAATTAACTATTTTGTGTCTGATGAGTTTTAAAAAAGAAAGAGCATGAGCACCGTAGAGTATATGATCTTTATTCATTCAGGCTAAAAGTAATTTATTTTGAAATTGGTTATACAATATAGAGGAAAAATATTAGTGACTAATGAGTTTGCTTTACTTCCATGCTATTGCTCAAAGTATATTTTTATTTCAACTGCACCTTTGTAATGATTGAATACACAAATTTAGACTGTTAGAAATATAAAATAGTGATGAAGAAAATTGACTCAGTTGGTAAATCTTTTATGAAACTTGTGGCAAGGTTTCAGACTTGTTAATGCTAATTCGGTTTTTTATAACATTTTTAATTCAATTTTCACATTCATTTGTCATCATTCTTTATGGTTATCCAAAACTTAAAAGGTGATATTTTGGATAAACTTTGTAGGTATGCATATTTCTTCATTTTATGATTGCATGTTATATAAGTTTTTACATAAAATTAAATTATCATTCTAAATTAAACATTTATTTTAGTCTTGGAGAGAGTTTGGATCTAATATTTTATTTCTTGAAAAATTAAAAATATTATGTTAGTTTCTGACTTTCATTTTCATCATTTATTTTAGTTTCTAAACGCAGATTCCGTTAACAAACAATAACAAAAAGCTGGCATATCACGTCAAATATCATATTAAAAGCTTAATTGGCAAAAACAACATCATTTTGAAGGGTTTATTTTTTCTGTCTTTCTATTATTAAGGTTTCTTCCTTCCTTCTACTACTAGAATTTATTCCTTTTATTGTTAGGGTTCTTTCCTTCCTTCTATTAAACCTGTTAGAATCTATTATAATCTTATAAATATAGTAACTGTATATATTGTAATTATGTACTCTTTCCTATAAATTTGAATAACTCCGCTATGCCTTAAAACACACAGATTCAATATTTTCTCTCTCAACATGGTATCTAGAGCCTAGATAGGCAACCCTAATCCGTTATTTTTCCCAATGGACCCACTGTTCACTGGTGCTATTTTTTTTCGACGTCGCCGCCACTGTCCACTACAAAGGCGACACCCCGCTGACCATGCCTTCATTGGAGTCCTCATGTGCCCCCATGCACCACCTTCTCCTTTGTCGATTTGCTCACGCATCACCTTCTCTCTCCATGTGTGACGGTGCGTCTGGCATCCTTTCCTGACATCGTCGATTAGGGTTTGCTCGCCTCTCTCTCCTCTACCTGTATCCGGTCTCAGTTAGTTGTTTGGACATCTATTCGCCATTATTTTGCCCTTTTTCGCTGTTGTTTAGACATTTTCTTTCTCTTCTCACTGACCAGTGGCTACTTCTAGCACTCCAAAAGCTGACACTCAAATTTTTACCAACCATGTCACTGCACCTCTCTCTTTTGAGCAGTTGGATGGTAAGCATTACTCCTCATGCGTTTCTTACATTGAACTTTGGCTTATTTGACAGGATTATGAGACACATCTCACCCAAACAGCAAACGATGTCTTAGAGGCTGACTGTCCTATGTGAAAAAAGGTTGATGCTCAATTGTGTTGTATCATCCTAGCCACCATTCACCCATATCTTCGTGATGTCTTTTGCACTCACAAAACCTGCAAAGCTGTTTGGACATAGGCCTAACAACTCTTTACAAACAATCCTCGACGACTTCACTAAATTTGTGAAGACCTTATGACTATCCTTAGTGCCCATCAGATTAAGGATTCTATGTCGACCTATATTGGCTCAGTATCTAGCCTTCTTTGTGAGTTCAACGAATTGCTTCCTCCCGCTGTCACTCCAGATGCGAAACTTGACAATCGCAAGAAGTTTTTCATGTCCTTGGCGCTATACAATCTGCCTCCAGAATATTCTTATATTCGTGATCAGATCCTAAGGAGCCTCACAGAAGCTACTATGGACAGTACTTGGGCGACCCTCCTTCGTGTTCTCCCCAAAACCTCCTCTGAGCCTTTGCTTCCTACTCCTATTGACTCTTTGGCTTTGGTTTCTCGCAACACCAACCGACCTCCACAGCGAAGGGCGGCAAAAGACGCCCTTGGTGTGATCATTGCCACTGACCAGGACACACAATTGATAAGTGCTAGACTCTACATGGTCGACCTCCTCGCACTACCTAGGTGGTCCAAAACTCTGTGTCTCCTTCATCCACTTCTGTTATGGCGTTGGCTTCGGATCCACATCCATCACCTTCCTATGACGATTTCCTGAAATGGTATGACGATGGTTAGGCCTCTGGTTCCACTGCTGTTGTTGCACACACTGATAATTCCTTCATTGGTCTCTCTCACTCTTCAGGCCCTTGGGTCCTTGACTCTGGGGCCACCAATCACATCACTGGTAATAAATCTCTTTTTTCTTCTCTTTCTACTTTTGGTTTTTTACCTTATGTTACCATGGCAAATGACTCTCAAACTCAGTTCCAAGGTGTTGGTGTTGTTCATCCTCTTCCTTCTCTTTCTATTCATAATGTTCTTTATGTCCCTGGGGCTCCCTTTAATTTGTTGTCCATTAATCAACTTACCTGGTCTCTTGATAAGTCTGTAATTAGACCCTATTTTACAGCCCATATATTCATATTTGACCTTTATTTTATTTAGATTTTACATTAATTTATATATTAATTGTGCAGTTTGGTATAAAGAGATCACAAGTGGATGTTGGGTGCATTTTGGGCCCAAATTGATGGAAGACTAGAGCTTCGCAGCAGTCAGCACGCCCATACCCTTTCAACAAGTACAAGGGTGCTTCGAGTCTATGCACGGTCGTGCTTAAGGCCTTGCATAGCCGTACTCATATGCGAGAAGTCCAATTATCAAGAGTCTTTAGGGTTTTCAAACCCTATTAAAAGGAGATCTCAGTCATCGTAAAGGGAACCGTTTTTACATCTAGTCTTTGGCTTTCGGATACATTTCTCATCTCGTCTCTCTTACACGGGATCCTTGGCACATTCTTAGCGAGACTTGGAACTTCAAGCGATCGTACTTGAAGACAAGGAACACATCTCATACTCTAGTTTATTATTATTTTTGATTATGGCTTTGTTTATGATTCTTTAAGTTCTTTTCTTTAGCATGAATAACTAAGTTCATAGTTAGGGTTATAAGAACTATTGTTCATGAATTAATGAAATTTTGATATTTGAATCTAAATTTGATTTCCGTTTTGTGATTAGATTTTATCCTATTGCGCTTCTTTCTTAATCCTAATTAATTATATCATCAGGCGATCGTATCTCGGTTAATTAATAGATCTATAGGGTAAAACGAGACAAAGAATTAGGTGGACCAAACCAATCTTTCTTTTCTAATCCTTATTAAATTAACAAGTTCATAAATTTCTTAAGCTTTCTTAAATTGATGTCTTCCATGATTATTGGGGATGTTAATTTAGAGAAAAGAATATTAATATTACATGACCATTGGGTATTAATAGTATTCATATGAATGATTGGTAATCACAAGAAAATCGAATTTAGAGTTAAATAGAAAAATAACATAAAGGATTAAATGAGAAAACCCATATACCCTAGGTTCCTTTCCGATAAGTTTAACTAAGACATGTATTGTATTCCTTACTCTTAGTTTATAATTAATTTTATAAATTCTTGTTTTAATTAATCTCATATCTTTGAAGCTTAAACTATTGAATTAGGAAATTCTTAGTAATTGGAAAACAATCCTTGTGAGATGATATTTCGAGAACTTAATTTAAGAACCCTTTATTACTTCTCGATGGGTACACTTGCCCTTTGAACATCTCTTGATTGTATCATCTCTTTTACCAAAAATTCTGTTTTCTTGCAGGACCGGAGTACATGAGGACGATTAGCTCCAGATGTGAGTCCCATGGTCTCTATTAGCTCAACAAGCCCTCTCTTGTTGGTTTAGCAGCAACATCTCCACTTTTGATTCATGCTTGAGTAGGACATCCAAGTCTTAATAAGTTGAAATAGTTATACCCTAGTCTTTCTAAGTTAGAGTCTTTTTCTTATGAGTCATGTCAATTAAGCAAACATGTTCCTAATTTTTTTTCTAATCGCACTATGAGTTAGGCTTCATCCCCTTTTATTTTAGTTCATTTGGATGTTTGGGCTCCAAGTCGTATTTCCTCTACATTAGGGTCCAGATATTTTGTTACTTTTATAGACAATTTTTCTTGTTGTACTTGGTTATATTTAATGAAAGAATGTTTAATTTTTTTTTAATTTTTTAATCTTTCTTTTATGAAATAAAAAAATTAATTTGGTATCCCTATTCGCACTTTACAAAGTGATAATTCACATGAATATCTATCTACTCAGTTTCAGACCTTTATGGCATCTCATGGTGTATTATATCAAACATCTTGTCCTTATACCCCCCCCAACAGAATGGAGTTGTAGAAAGCAAAAATTGGCATATACTTGAGATCACTTAGAATTTTCTTCTCCACTCTCATGTTCCTCATCAATTTTGAGGTGATGTGGTACTTACTGCGTGTTATCTCATTAACTGCATGTTTTCTTCTGTTTTACAAGGTAAAATCCCTCATCAAGTTCTATACCCCAATCACTCTCTTCATCCTTTACCACCTCAGGTCTTTGGTTCTACATGTTTTGCTCATACTCTTGGTCCCGACATTGACAAGCTTTCCCCTCAATCTCATAAGTGTGTTTTCCTCGGATACCCACGATCTCAAAAAGGATACAAGTGTTATTCTCCAACTCTTCGCAGGTATTTCATCTTTGCTGATGTTACTTTCTTTAAGTCCATTCCATTCTTTGAGCTTAGAACATTTATTTTCGAGTCTTCCCCGTCCACGACTGCCCCTATTTCAATCCTTTTCTATCCTCCAGAAGAGTCTCCATCCCCTCCACACCCATCTCCTCCACCTTTGCAGGTATATCAGTGTCATACTCGCCCTATATTCCAGCCACCGAGCACTACCAACACCATGGACTCATCTTTGGAGCCACCTCTGTCGCCTCACCTTCTGGTCCCGCTTCTGAACCTGACATTCCTATTACCCTTTGAAAAGGTATACGTTCTACTCGTAATCCTTCTCCTCATTATATTTTTTTAAGTTATCATCGTCTTTCTCCTTCCTATTATTCTTGCCTTTCTTCCTTGTCTTGTGTTTCTATTCCTAAGAGTGCAAGTGATGCATTTGCCCATCCAGGATGGCAACAAGCTATGCTAGACGAAATGTATGCATTATAGAATAGTAGAACTTGGAACCTCATTCCTCTACCACCAAGGAAGTCAGTTGTTGGTTGTCAGTGGGTCTATACGGTCAAGGTTGGTCCAGACGGCAAGGTTGATCAGCTTAAGGCCTGTCTCATCGCCAAAGGCTATACTTAAATCTTTGGCTTAAATTATGACGACACTTTCTCTCCCATGCCCAAGTTGCCCTTTGTGCAACTATTCCTGTCCATTGTTGCCATATGTCATTAGCCTCTCTATCAGTTGGATATCAAGAATGCTTTCTTACATAGTGATCTGCTTGAGGAAGTCTACATGGGGCAACCTTCTTACTTTATTGCTCAGGGGAGTCCTCTGGTCTTGTATGTCGATTGCAGAAATCTTTATATGGCCTCAAGCAGTCACCCAGAGCATAATTCAACAGATTTAGTATTGTGATTCAACAGTTTGGCATGACTTGGAATGAGGCTGACCATTCTGTCTTCTATCGTCACTCACCTACTGGTTGCATCTACCTAGTTATTTATGTTGATGACATTGTCATCACGGGTAGTGATCATCATGGCATCGCACAGGTAAAAGCAACATATCTTCAAACATTTTCAAACAAAGAGTCTTGGCAAACTCAAATATTTTTTAGGAATAGAAGTAGCATAGTCAAAAAATGGGATCATCATTTCTTAAAGGAAGTATGCAATAGATATTCTGGAAGGAAAAGGAATGTTAACTTCCAAGCTAGTCAACACTCCCATGGATCCCAATGTCAAGCTCCTGCCAAATCAGGGGAGCCTCTTCTAGATCCTAAAAGGTATAGACGATTAGTAGGGAAGCTGAACTACCTCATTGTTACCTGTCCAGATATCTCATTCGCAGTGAGTGTGGTAAGTCAATTTCTCAACTCTCCATGTAAGGAACATTGGGATGCAGTGACGCGCATTGTTCGATACATCAAAAGAGCTCCAGGAAAGGATCTTTTGTATGAAGACAAAGGACACACTCTAGTTGTGGGGTATTCTGATGTAGATTAGGCATGATATCCTATAGATAGAAGGTCCACCTCTGGATTCTGTATATTTGTCAGAGATAACTTTGTCTCTTAAAAAAGTAAGAAGCAAAATGTTGTAGCCTGGTCCAGTGCAGAAGCGGAGTATTGAGCTATAGCTATAGCAAGTCAGGAGCTTATATAGCTCAAACAGTTGCTTCAACGAAGTAACACATATGTCACTTATATGTGATGATCAAGCCGCCATGCACATTGCCTTAAATCTAGTATTTCATGAAAGAACAAAGCACATTGAAATTGATTGCCACTTTGTCAGAAAGAAAGTCATGTCCGGAGAAATATCTACTAAGTTTGTCAATTTCCATGATCAATTAGTAGACATATGTAACATATGTAACAAGCTTGGTGCATATGACCTATATACTCCTGCTTGAGGGGAAGTGTTAGAATCTATTAGAATCTTGTAAATATAGTAAATATATATTTTGCAATTATGTACTTTTTCCTATAAATTTGAATAACTCCGCTGTGCCCTAAAACACACAGATTCAATATTTTCTTTCTCAACAAAACTAATATACCAACTAGAACAAACGTGTAAACATTCATTAGCCACTCACAACTGTTCACATTTGGTTCAATTCTCTGGTGTAAGAGATTATAAGGTATCATTATTCTTATAAACTTCTGATGAAAGTATAAAGTAACACAAGTATTGAAGAAGAAAAATAACTGAAATTTGATAGCCGATAAAATTGTTTGATATAAAAAATAGAAAGAAACAAAGTACTAAATATTGGGAGGTAAAAGAGGTAGATGGAGAGAAAGTAACTCAACATCCAAATATTTCAAAACGATGTCGTTTTTGTTAATTAGGTTTTTGCTATAACACTGAACGTGACATGTTAACTTTATGTTACTATTTGTTAATTTGTAAATAAAGTTTGCATTTAAAGACTAAAATGAACAACAAAAATGAAAATCAAGAATTAACGTGACATTTAAAATTTTTCAAAGAATACAATGACAAATGTAAACTCTCTCAGGAACCAAAATAAAGAGTTTAGTCTATCATTTTATCTAAGAGGAGATTTTAATTTCTCTAATTTGTTCATCTATAATTAAATTTCATAACTTATTTAAGCCACTTCTTTTTGGTCGTGAAAAATAACGAGCAAGGTGAGAAAATTGAAGGATCTATAGGCTCAGATAATGTCTTATAATAATCTATCTAACCTGTTCAACAATTTTATGGACCCTTTGACTAAAAGATAACTTCTGGACCCAAAAAATTTGGTCCAACAACATCACCTCAACCAGTTCCGTGGCATCTTTTCTTTGATTTCAATGGAAGTTCCTTCGCCAAGCAAGAAAACAAAAAAAGGTACTAAATGTTGATATTGCGATGAATCATTTTAGTTTGATCGCATTTCATTTCATTTTCCTGAAATACTAGAAGCATTAATTCCAAACGTTATAACCTGAAGCATTTTACTTAAAAATAGAAAAGAAAAAAAATGTGAATTGACCCATCCTAACAACTTTGATACACAAAGAATGCTAGCAATATATTTTATTTTTAACATATTTTTAATTATTAGTTAAAATATATTTAAAAATATAAAAATTGGTAGTGTGTAAAAAATTAAAAAAATTATTTCTTTTTTCACTTTTAATTTTATATTTTTTCTTATATTTTTATAATTTTTATAAATTTTTTCTATTAATTAGTGGTGTGTAAAAAAATATAGTTAACATTCCTTCCCCTGATATATTATAGTTAGTCGAGGAAAATAAATAAATTATGGTAATTAAAAAATTAGCATAGTTTCATTTCGGACTCACTTTACCAAGATAAAAACCTTTTTATTAACAAATCCTATTAAATTTAGAGTAATCCTATCTATGTTTAAATATTTTATATTAAAAGTAATTTTGACAAAAGAAACATTATTCGGATTATTTAAGAATAAAAAATTACATTTATTCAGGGCAAAATACAATTCGTCGCTCAATCCAAAATCATTCTTCAACAAAGGGTGAAAGTTTCCCCTAACACAATTGCAGTCCTCACGAAATATCGAAAGAACATTTGAGGGATCAAAACGCTCAATTGAATTTGAAAGCTCGAAAGAGCGAAAGAGAAACGCATTGCAATACTATTCGGTGCGTTCGTGATCGGAGATCGAAACATGGACGACGAATTGCTTGAACTGCAGCGACAATTCGAGTTCGCGCAGCAAGCGAAGTCCAGTATCCGATTATCGGAGCGAAACGTCGTCGAATTGGTCCAAAAATTGCAGCATCTCCAAATCATCGATTTCGAGCTTCTCTACACTGTCTCTGGCAAAGAGTACATCACTCTCGTACGCTTTCGCTTCTTCCTTTTTTCTCCAATTAGGTTTCCGACTTCGCAATTTTCATTTCCAATGGATTCGATTAACAATTATCTATTATCACTCTGTTCATTGTTTTACACTTGATCGTAACCGAAAGATTATTTATTTGATCGCTTGCGTATACATTACTTTCAGGATCAACTGAGGAACGAGATGGTGGCTGAGGTGAAGAAATTAGGGCGTGTTTCTTTGATCGATCTCGCTGACGCTACTGGAGTTGACTTGTTTTATGTGGAGAAGCAGGCTCAGAACGTAGTAACGGATCACCGAGAATTGATGTTGACTCAAGGCGAGATCATGTCTGAGTCTTACTGGGATTCAATTGCTGAAGAGATTAATGAGAGGCTTCAAGAATGTAGTCAAATTGCGCTGACGGAACTCGCTGCGCAATTGAACGTTGGTTTAGACTTGGTTGCGTCCATGTTGGAGCCGCGCCTGGGCACTATGGTGAGTTTGTTTGTGTGTTGGTTTGAATATGTGCGGTGTGAAATTTGGAATGATTCAGTGGAAAATGTGGTTTGATAAGTGTTGGATTTTGAGAATATAGGTGAAGGGAAGGCTTGAAGGTGGACAGTTGTATACTCCTGCCTATGTAGCTCGTGTTAGTGCCATGGTTCGAGGTGCTGCGCGGGGCATCACGGTTCCAACAAATTTGACGGTGTTATGGAGCTCGTTGCAGCAGTTACTGCAAGAAATGGATGGAACCAGCGGTTTGGCTGTTGAAGGATCGTTCTTTCAGTCTTTGTTTAATGGACTTGTGAAGGAAGGCGAGATTCTAGGGTCACTTCGTGCAGGAGTGCATTGGACGCCTGCTGTAAGTGACATGTTTTGAAATCCATTACACATTGTTAGAGTGATTCCATGATTATGGTTCTGATATTTTATTTTGGCATGGAGTGGTTCATCTCTTGATCCACCTAATGTTCAATTGGCAATAATTGGGAGGATTTCCATATTCTTTTATGTCTTCCATTTCCAGTTTGTTACTCTATAATCCTTGGACTGATGGTGCCTTTCGGTAGAAGTACTCAACTGCTATGGCAAATGTCTTGCGGAAATATATTTAGCTCCTATTTCTATGTTTAGAAATAATTTTTTATGACTTTCCACTTCTTATTCACACAACAGGTATTTGCTGTTGCTCAAAAGGAATTCGTAGATTCATTCTTTTCACAGGTGTGAACTCTCACTTCTCTCATTTTTCCCTTTTTAAGATACCAAAGCTTTACCTATTTCTAGTATATAATCCATTGATCAGAGCTATATAACTGTCTTTACAAGCTGGTTAGATTGGACTTGTACACTGAGACTTTTACCTGTTTATTCTTTGTAAATTTGTACTTTGACCTTCTCACCCTCTGTTTGGGAAGGAAATTTTCCGAACTGCTAATTTGTTTATTTTTATTTTTTTGTATGCTATAGAATTCTTTTATCAGCTATGAGGCTCTGCACAAACTTGGAATTCCCCAGCCCATTCAATTCTTGCAGGTAACTAAATTGTTCTTATGTTCATTCTTTTTCTAAATAACTATTAGGATCATAGAGATATGTGCAATAAATATTTGTAGAACTTGTTTCCCTAGCATAGTTAATGAAGCCTAAGTTTGCACAATCCAATTTAGTCCAGATATCCTGAAGGCAAACCTCTAGTTACAACATTTGTTCACCCATCTATGATTGAGATGCTAGATGCTGCTACTGAGGATGCTCTCGAGCGTGGTAGCTGGTAAGGACATTGACATTTTTTTTTCCTTTTATCCTCAGTTTCTGTTTTAAGTCCTTTCTACATTACTAAATTGAGCTAGGTTTTAACACCATCAATAGATCCTCACATTAAAGTTATACAGTATATCAGTAGAAACTATAAAATTTGAATTATTGTTATGGATGTGGTGATGACTTTGTAATTTGGTGGATGACTGTTGTGAACTTTGTGATATATTTATTCCTCATCTATCTCTCGTATCTAAGATTATAAAATTTATAATAGGTATATATTTCTGCATCACCTAGATGTTGGCTTAGCAAAAATAGATATCAAAATCCAAATTAGACTATAAAACATGTTCTTATGTGAGCTCTACTTTGCTTGTTCAACATCAGTCAATGCTTAATATGCACAACTTTAAAACTGGATGATAATGACTGATCATGTTTTCTCTATTTTACTTTCTCTCTCTCACTCTCTCTCTAGTTGTAGACAGGGCCTCTATAAATACTTCCATATGTTGTCTTTGGATTTTGAAATTTTGATGCTGAAATATTCTGTTAATTTCTGTGAAAATCCTTATTCGATGTGAGATGTAATGCAAGATTTTCTCAACATTGTTTCCAAAAATTACAGCAAGTTATGTTTACTCTATGGAAGGCAATTTTTTCAAAGCTGTATCCTGCCTGATATATGATGTTGCAGGAGTGATTCTCTTTCCTTATTGCCCTCATCTTTTACACCTCAAGATGCATCTAAAGTGCTGTCTCTGTGTCAATCTGTTCAAAATGGTCTTAAGGTGATATTCAACCACCCTGTAAATTTATGCTCAGCTTTGGTTTGTTATGTTTTAATAAACTTTATTTCCTTTGCAGTCTAACAAAGCACACATTTTTGGAGATTTTTATGTGTTGAGCAGCAGCTTTATAAAGGTGTGTTGTGGCATTTGATATAGCCATATAATCATCAACTTAATTTATTAATTTTAAAGACCACATCACCCATTTTGTGGTGCAAATGCTACTGCTGATGTCCAGTTTGCAGATTGGTTTAAATTTATTTAATAGATTGGATCAATCAACATATTTTCTTAGTTAGTATTGCCAATGAGAACAAAAATTAAGAAGCTAGGCATGTGTTTATTAGATTTGCTTACACATTTGGTTCAGCAAATTGCCACTCATTCATGTATGAAGTTCACCTAATAGTTTAAGGTTTTGGGATACTTGGTTTGTAACATATATCTTCTCTCATTTCTTGTTTAAGTGCTCAAAGTCAAAGATCAAAGTTGCTGTTGAATAAAAAATATCTATCTGCAACTATTTTTTTATCATTGATTTCCTGCTGCCTGTATATTTCTCTATTCCTCATTTACTAGGACATCTGTGATCGCATGGTGAAAGAATTGGAGACATTAGGTATTTCAGGGTCTTTTGGCACTATGATGATGCCTGGTGATTTACAAGTAGCCAATGAAGCTAAGAAAGGGAATGATTCAAGCCGTTTGAATGAGTGCAATGAGATGGTGAGTGATGTTGGTGCCAACAAGCATGCTGATAAAGGAACAAAGAAGAAAAAGGGGAAAGCCACAGGGAATCCAGTAACAAATCTATCTGACAGTGGTGCAGATAACCATGAACAAACCTCAACAAAATCTAAGAAAAGCCAGAAAAGGGGTAAGGATGCATCATCACAGACATCGGATTCAAAGACAGGTTCTAGAAAAGAGGATAACATTGGTCCCTCAGAAGAATGGATCATGCAGAAAATTACTACATTGGTTCCTGATTTTGAAGAACAAGGTCTGCTGATTCTGATTTCAAATCTGTTCTTTTTCCTATACATGTTACCCAATGTTCTCTAATGCAGTGCTATAAATTGATAGGTATAGATGATCCTGAAACAATTCTTAAGCCTTTGGCTAACCAATTAAGGCCTACAATAATCAGTTCTTGGATGGAGAAAAAGAAGGCGTTGCTTACAAACAATGCAGAAAGAATGAAACGTTTGCTTGATAATTTGCAGAAGAAACTTGATGAGGTTTGACCACTAAAGTACCATTTTTTGTTTTCTCTACATCCACTATTTTCTGTCTTTATGTAACTTTCTTTTCTTCTTTCATTCAAGGATATTTATCCAGACACATAAAATTTTTGGACTTTAAAATGTAATATACTGATTGATTGTTTTTCTGGCAGTCATTCTTAAACATGCAGCTGTATGAAAAAGCCTTGGAATTGTTTGAAGATGATCAATCAACTTCTGTAAGTTTTATTTAGTTATCTGAAATTTGAAGGTGTTATTTCACTGATGAAACAAAATAAGTTAATGCATATAAGATGCCCAGGTTGTTTTGCATAGGCATTTACTAAGGACAGTAGCAGCTCCTATGGTGGATATGCTTCTCCATAACTTGGTATTATATCCATTAAGTCATTTTTTTAATGTTTTTTCAAGTTTTAATAAGTTCTAAATCTAACACTGGATCCATTATCTGCAGGATGTGCACAACAAATTAAAGAATGGAGTGGATGTGCAGGAAGCTCCAGATTCTGAATCTGTTTCACTTAGTCCTGGAGAGAGAACTGCAATTGTAAGAATAAGGCATTATTTGGCATAATTATATGCATACTTTTGGTGTGTGACACAAGTTTTGTATTAATCTCATATTTTTGCTGAAGATCATTTGGTGGGAGCACACAAATTGACTTCAAATCTCCTTCTTATATTTTTCTTTTGCAGTCTAAGAGTTTTCCAGGAGCTCTTGCAAACAAGGCTCTTGCTGTTATAGAAGCATTGGAAGGAAAGGTTGGCATTTTTAATTTAGAGGCAATTCTCATTGTTAAGGTTCATTGTGTAGGTTTACATCATTTTTCAATTCACAATTGCAGCTTGTTGACTGGAAATATCTTGTTATACCATGAAACTTATTATCCTGTCTGATTTCTTGGTAGTATAACTAATATTTGAGTATTCAATACAACAGAGCGTTGACATATTCATGGGTGCTTTTAGAATGGTAACAGAAGAGAGGTAAGGTGTCTATTTTTTGTTTGTAGAACTTTTGGCATTGACTTGACCTCCTATGCTTCTGTCCTGACGTGAACCCTAATACATGGTTTGATCATTTTCCAGTGGGTTGCCTTTGAAAAAGCTTGACAAGAAACTAGAAAGAACACTTTTACATTCATATCGAAAGGTATTTGTGCTTACATTTTGTAAAAATTTACTAAATTCTTACATAAATGGTGTTGATGTTGGTTGTGGAATTGTGGCATTAAAACGAGGTTGGAAAAAACTCCAGACGAAATTATTATTGAATAAGTTATTTTGTACAACTGTTAGGGAAAATTCAAATTTAAGTTGTTGCAAACATTTTCAATTAGGGAATATGCGGGATTTTGCTTAGTTTCAGAAAATATTTTCTGTTTTCATTTCTAATCATAAATCTGTCACCTTGTTTTCATGTAATTTTTTTGTTTTAAAAAATTTGCACAGGAAACACAAAAAATAAAAGAAAATTAAAGTTATTTTCATTTTTCAGTGTGTTTTTGTACAAAACTTTAGAAACAAGAAATGGAATGAAATTAAAGTGATAGTTTTGCGATTAAAATTAAAAACAACGAAAACCAAAAACAATTTTTAAAATCAAACAGTCCCGGAAGTATTCTAAGAACAATTTACATTGAGATAAATTGTGTCCACATAGGTCTCTATATATGTTAGTATTAATTACATTGATTCAATCCTAGTTATATGGACACTAATCCTAAATTAATTCCTAAGGTTGCTCCTAAATTGATTCTAGCATATATTTATGGTATGCTATTGCTATAAATATCGAAGATATTCCAGCATAGGAAACATTAAGTTGCAATTTATGGTTAATTAATAAGTTGTCTTGATTTCTTAAATTGTAATTCTCCTTATTACTTGTTAGTTATGCAACTCTGCATAAAGCTGCAGTCAGATTTTGTAATGATACCCTACCATTTGGATGTTCTTACACTATCTTTTATCATTGTTACTAACAGGAATTGACATCTGAAGTTTCTGCTGAGACTGACCCTGTTTCACTTTTGCCAAAAGTTGTGTCTTTACTTTATATCCAGGTAATTTAAGTGCTTCTTTGCCCCCCCCCCCCCCTCCCTCCCTCTTTCCCCCCCCTCCATTATAACATTGGATGCTTGTGTGAATAGGTTTACCATAAAGCCCTTCAAGCTCCTGGAAGGGCCATTTCTGTTGCTATTTCCCATTTAAAGGTTTGTTCTTTCTGTTAGTTGATTTAGATATGCATTGACACTTAACTAGAAAAAACTTTAGTAGTATAATACCAAATTGTATAGTCCCTAATTGTATTTGTGTGCTAATTGTCAGGACAAGCTAGATGAGTCAGCAAACAAAATTTTAATTGATTATCAAACTGCCACAGTGACTCTTTTGGCACTATTAGCAGCTGCACCTAGTGATGTGAGTGATTACTTATTCATTCTTCCTCATTGCATGTCACATCAAATTTGATCTTAATAATTTTTTGTCTCTTCTAAGTAAAACATCGAAGTACTTCAAGTTATGGTCTAGCTATCAAATAAGGCTAGCATACTGTTTTTACATTTTGTACATAATTTGGCTAGCGCTTTCAAATTAAATTTTCTCCTTCAATTTTTCTAACATTTTTTTTTTAAATAGCTAGATAAGATATTTTTTCCTTTCCTGCTTCTGCATGAGCTCTTTTACTTGAAGCATTTTAAAAAATTAAATGAAAGAAGCAGCAGCTGAAAACACCTTATTTCAGTTAACTTATTTTAAACAGCAGATAATCCCGAAAAGCAATACTTCAATTACTACTTTCTCTCAATATTTCTTTGGGGAGGAGGGGGTCATGTTGGTGAATGTTTTGATCACCCAATTCAATAGGTAGATTAGTTTGAATAATTGGAATAATCCAGTGATTGTAAACTATTTTCTTCCCTTACAGGAAGAGGGTTGTGCATCTGATAGGATTTTGAGTAAAAGGGAGCTACTGGAGAGCCAAATGGTGGACCTCAAACGCTTGGTTTTGAGCACCTCACAATCTTCATAAATATTTTGTTAGCCAAACTGACCATCTGAATCGGGCTTCATTGTAAGGTTGCGCTAATTTGGTGTTGTCTATTTTCTGAGGTGCAAAAGCCTTGGAAAATTTGCATTTTGCTAGGGTAGACAATTCTAGGAGATTAGATTTTTTGGCTATTCATTTTACTCTAGTTTACGCTGCTTCCCTTTAGTTTTGTCGCAGGAAAACTTCTTGCCCGACGATTTATAGTTGTTTGATAATTGTAAGGTATAATGTTTTATAAACTCTTTCTGAATGAGAAATTCTTGAGTAGACCTAGTTTATAGAAATTGTATATAGACTAAACCGACTACCAAATGGCATTTCATCATTTTATATTAATAATCACCAAATTTGTCTCAATTATTCTGAAGTAATTACATTCTAGCTCTTAATTAGTTAAGTGTGCACAGCTTGTATAACCTGGTCTATTCAAGTCAAAATCTAAAGTTTCCTGAACTTTTCCCACTTTCAAATCGTTCTCGTTGTTAACCAAATGATTCTGTCATAAGGCGTTTATTTAAGGTTTCAAATTCCATTGGTTGATTACTATTTTCCTGATATAGTTTAATACTCGGGTCTAATCTTCATACAGATTGCAATGGCCACGAATGCATTCGGGAACCGCTTCACAATTACCGATCCTTGAAATCCATTATTCGGCATAGTAACATGTTATTAAAGCTTAAACATAATCAAATAATCCGGGTAACCATCCCACAGCGAGTATAATACTACCTTACGTAAAATGCACAAATATAATAAACTTCCAAGTTGTTTTCGATGAAGGGAGAGAGCGAGGCATGATTACAGATGTTTAGAAAAATATTTATTAGGTTACTGAAAGAATTGATTATTTTCTGAACAAATTTGTTCTCGAACACACGATCAAGCAGTCCTAATTGACATTTTACAATCAGACTAATAATAAAATTAAATACATCTTCAATGTTATATATTGATTAAAAAACCAATAAAAAAATATAATTATGTAAAAACTTGAATTAATTTAAATAAACATATACAAAAAGCTAAAAAAAATATTTAAAAAATTATATTATAACAATCCATACTTATAAATCTATATTGAAAAATAATAGTAAAAGATTACCAATTAAATGGGTTTTAGCCACCATCTTTTATCCAATTTTGATCAATTAGACCAGATTTGATAATATATGACCGACTCCCAGTCAAGCCAGTCAATACAACATTTTACCTACAGATTCAGACTAATTATTTCAGAAAGAGGAGAATAAACTCCGAGTCACTATTCCAATTTCGATTCAGGTGTTTTACTGCGTGTATTTTAGCTAGTGGGCAGATAAACTTGTCAGCCAGCTACGTTATCCTAACACCTATGTACGTAATTATTGTTCGTATTAGGGCAAGAGGAAGAAAAAATATACTAGCTTGGATCACTAAATCAACAAGATTGCAAGAAACGCCAAATTGAATACTAATGCTGCAAAATGACTTCCTGAGGATTTAAATCCATAATCGAAACTTTACAATAAAGGTTTTGTTTCCTCCTCAATGTTGAGGCAGATGCGGTCTCTTTTCCAACATTTCGTAATGAAGAACAATATTATCCTGCAAGGAGGTTGTAAATTAGAGGCTAAAAACAGAACATTGCTTGGGGAAAGAAATAATATCATGTGAGCAGGAGGAAAAGAGTTGAAGAACACCACTACAAAACTATATACGAAAACAAACCTTGTGAACGATTTCAAAAAGGTTTGGGTCGAAAGAGTGATAAGATCCTCTCTCGTATGTGTTTGTTTTAACCAGTGGCTCTAAGTTGGGAACTCTTATATACCACATACGATGTTCTTTGTGATAAAACCAACCTCTGTTGTAACTGAGAAATAACCATTACCTGGTTAGAAATTAGTTAATTGGGGAAAAAAATTTAAGATAATTGCAATTTAGAAATTCCTGTCAAAATATTTTAAATTTACGAATACTGAAACTGGATAAGTGGTTAATGTGTTAATCATGCATTACTTAATTAACCACTCATCAAATTGATTGTTCCCAAATTGTAAAAATCCCAAAATAAATAAACCCAAACCATTCAAAAAATAAAAAGAAACGACAAAAAAGGACACGTGCATACAGCTCATTTGCGGCGTATAATTGTGCTTCATCTTTGGGCATGCTGCAAAAAAGATGATTTTTTAATATTTAATTATAATATTAAGCAAGTCAATAAAAAAGCACATAATATTTCAGATTTTAAAGGCACCTGTAAAATATGTAAAACAGTGTTTCCACTGAAAACTTTGAAAAGTAACCTTGCTGCATCATGCAACAATAAACAGTTAGTCCAAAGCAAAGGTTTGGAAATAAGGAAATGAAATTGTAGAAAATAATAAAATAAATCTCACATGTAGAGCAGGTGGCTGTTTGGCATAATAACATTGCGGCACATTAAATTCTGGATCACCCTTAGCTGGTTCTTCTGACCACGGGGACCCAAAGGTCTTGTGAAGATTTTCTGATGAATTCAAATTTAACCCTAATGTAGTAAGATCAATTCCAAGAGCAAGAGATGTCAGGTCAGGATCACTCATCCTGATCACACTTAACAAGCCAAGCAAACCAAATGGATCAGGTGTAGATTGCGCAGTTTGAATAGACTTCATGCCCTGATCCCTAAAAGATTGATTTACAGCTGACATTTGAAGGCGAAACTGGGACTGGTTCTGGTGCTGTTGATATTGCTGGATAAGCTGGTCGTATGAACCCATACCAGAAACTGTATTTGGAGAATTTAAAGGTCTTAATCCAATTCCAGGAGGTCCACTGGTCTAAACCAAAATCCAGAAGTGATTAGAATGTCAGGACTACTGCTTCAGTGGGAAACACATAATTTCAGTTTAAGCAGGCACTTCAACTTGAAAGACAAGCTAACTAAGAGAGAGACTTATACATTCAAAAACAAGTTTCCCATTCACAAGTACAAACTTGCACACCTGTGAATGATAGGTTGAATGTGAAGATGGAAAAATATCTGATCCATGTAAATGGAGAAGATCCTGGTTGTTAACAGATGAAAAAGAAACATTGCCACTACTGACTGAAGGTGCATGCTGCTGCTGTTGTGCGCGATGTGATGAATATGTACCCCCTAAGCTAAAACCAGCTGACCTCCCCATCTGCAGATAGAAGGGATGGAAGTTTAGGAAAACATTTTTTTTTATCCATCAATTTTGTATAAATGGATGTGTATATATATGAGTTCTTAATCTTTTATAACATGTAACTCACAGAGAAATGCTGAGATTGCATCATTGGCACAGCATTGTCATGAAGTTGTTCTTTCTGGTGCATATCCATAGCATAATCTGCATTACCACCTGCACAGGTAATATGATAAGCAACAAATATTGAAGTAAATTGAGAACTTGAGCAGAATTCAGTAAATAAACACAGATAACCAAAAATAATTAGAAAATCACTAAGTTGTCATTTCCACCAAAGCAATGTAAGATTCATCAGCACAAACCTAGGAAGTGATTAATTATTTTGCATAATTTAGAGAAGCACCCTCACAAAATATTAACAGATGGTACAGATGCTTATGAACTTGGCACAGAGAGCAGTGGTGCATATACCTATCAAAACTAAACAAAAGATGTGGGAATAAAGCCAAGCACTGAAAATAAACATGCATACAGATCCAAAAGACCTCCCTAAATAGATATTGCAAGTGTCATAGTACAACTCATCTCTCAGAATACACCTCTTTAACCCCCATAACAGAAGGAAATTATATAACTATGTAGTAGTACTAGAGCAGCCAAAATTGCTGACAAGAAATGCATAGTAACAAATTAGGTCATATATCTTGGTCAAACAACATACTACACCTTTGAATCCTGGTAAAGCTGGGAAATCTTCATTTTGAATGCTGAACTCTTGGTTTTGTTGAACAATGGGACTAAGACCCTGTTTCCGTAAAGATCCTGAAATTTTTTGTTTATATCATTCTATATTGAATAAGGTGAACAAATATATCAAGCACAAAACATAATTTTTCTTGGCATACCTAATTGTCCTTGAGGCCCTCCAGCAGAACTAGGTCGACTTGTCAGTTGAGGGAAGTCATTGAGGTCAAAAGGTGAGTTGTCGTTGGAATTTACATCATTCAACATCCCCATAGAGTTCAAGTTACTTACTGCTTGAACATGGCTTTGAGAAAGTGGACCTCCAGCACTAGGATAAGAATTTCCTAGCATTGAAATTACCTGTGGAGATCCTGGAGCAAGATGATGATATCACAACCAACTCTATTAAAGAGAAAAAAATTTACATATTCAACATGCATCAAACGTACAAATGATTTTATCATGGATCTCATATAAATCTGAAACAAGCAGAGCAGTAGTTTTTAAATACTTGTTCAATCACATCTTTCCACCAAAGTAACAACATACAAACATCACATCAAGAAACATTCTTTTATATCATTAAACAAAAATATTGTAGCAATGCCTAAGATAATAAATTTCCCACAACAAATGTAAACAATTGCAGACTTGCTGCTTTTGTTGAGGACAACAGTGACCAGTTTTGTTAGGATGCTCAACATAGCAGAATGATGTGGTCCAGAGGGTCCTACAAACCACCACCACCACCCCAAGTGTCTTCAACATGAATATACTTTCGCCAAACACATGAAAATAGTGGCCAAAGTGAAAATGGCTGGCAAATGGCAATACTCTCCGGAACTCCCATTACCCCTGTTTCGGCCATTGGGCTTCTTACTTTATGAGTTCAGTTCTGCGTTTCAAATGATATACAGATATCATTTACAGAAAAATAGCCCAAAATGTTCACAATCTTGCCATTCATATCAATACGGAGAACTACACCCAAAAATTATAGGTTTTTTGGCCTTGATAACACTATCCATCATTTCCCCATGGCAGTTTTGGCATTTGCTACCAAATACAAATGATGACAACTAATACAATGTGATCCACTTCTCAAAAAATAAAAAATAAGATTTCACAATCACTATGGCGAGGGAGAATAGAATTGCTTCGATTAAGGTAAATTTCATATGCAAATATTCCATATAACAAACAGGAGGAAGAAAAGCTGGATAAAGCACTATTTTATTTTTACAACATCTTTAATAGAAGAGAAATAAACAAAAATACATGTTCATAGCATGAAGGAACACGCATCTCCTATCATAAAACGTGAGAAATAGACAATTAGACAGACAGAAATAACAAGTAATTCCCACAACTAGGACCATGACTGCAGAAATCAAATTATGTTGACCCATCCCTGCAGCAACTTGTAAGTGACTAACTTCTAAAAAACACCCAAACCACTCATTAACTG